CCACTAAACCTTCCCAAACGCTGGCCGCCGTCAACTCTGGCCGCCGCCACCGTCGCCGCTACCGTCGCGGCCGCCGTCTCCGCCACCGACTAGGTGGTAGAGTGGGAGAAATTTGGGTACGAAACCGCGGAGCTCTGTCATTTGGATGCGCGAACGAGTAGCGTTCTCTCGCCGGCGGGACTATAGTAGTACTATTTGTATTTATCACGGCATGATGCGGTAAAAAATAGTCATTTACGCCGATTTTTTTTCTTCGTTTTCCAAAACGATATCCATATGATTTAATTCAATATATTCTTCCATAAATTTAATATATTCTAATTTTAATACAGGGTTGAATTTAAGTCGCATTTCCAAAGAAAAAAAACATCGTAGCGCAGCCGAGTAAGAATTGCCTATTTCTTTTATTTCAGTTTTAAATGGTAATTTTACAATAAATTTACCGTCTACGCCTTGGCGAACGGTTTGATTAAAATACGCTTGACAAGCCTTTTCTTCCATTGTATAATTATTTTTATCATTTGATACAGTTTCTAAGCGCCAAAATTTCGAGATTTGATCCTCCAAATTATTTATTACGATTTCGCTTAGTAACGTAATATTTCCCCGATCGATATTATTCTTGCATTTTGGTATAGGCCCAGCAATTATCCATCCTAACTTCGTCTCTTGTATGATTGGCCCGGCACTGGTCGATTTAATTTGCCCTGGACGCATTAAGTCGAAAAACAATTCATTACCTAATAACATATCAATTTTTTGCGGCTTATTGTATGCGTTGTCAGCTAATACAATATTATCTGGTACATTTATACGCTTTGGGTCAATGACCTGTGCGGGTATGTCATTAGTTAATCTAGGTAATATTAAGCAAGATATGGTTTTTTCGTAATCGCTTGTGCGGGATCTTATCTCCACCGTCACCGCGGACGTTATAGTTAACGTGACCATACGTCCCGCTTTGAGCGGGACAGTCCCGCTTTCGAACTAAGTGTCCCGCTGTCCCCAAAGAACCTAAAAATGTCCCGCTTTAAGAAAAGTCGACTTGTGGTAAGTATTAAATTTTATTAAATTTTTTTTAGTATTTTATTTGATTGATCACAAATCACAATCATACATTATTTATACTATTATACTGTATAGTCGTATAGACGTTCATCAATACACAAATTTTTCAAAAAAACGGATTCACCTTCTTCTAAGGATTTTGAAGTTGCTGCGGCTGAAGCCACTTGGGCTTATCATACTGTGCAGGAAAGTCATAGCTTTCGTTCGAATGATTGTGCGTCAAAATTAATACAGACATGTTTCGAGCAAAAATTTAGATGTGCTCGCACTAAGTCCGAGGCTATTGTTGTAAATGTTTTGGCGCCTATGGCAATACATGAGTTAAATGACCATCTCCGTAAAGCGAATTACATTACTTTACTTACGGACGCTTCAAACCATGGTTCTACAAAATTATTCCCTGTCTTAGTTCGTTACTTTTTACCGTATGAAGGAGTGCAAGTAAAGATTTTAGAATTTCAAGAGCAACCGGGTGAAACATCAGATATAATTGTGGATTATTTAAAACAAGTATTGACTGAAAATGAACTATCGTCAAAAATTGTGGCGTTTTGTGGGGACAATACTAACTGCAATTTTGGAGGAAAAAATAGAAAAGGAGTTAATAACGTTTATGCAAAATTGAACACCTCTCTTGGAAGGACTCTCATAGGAATTGGATGCGGAGCTCACATAATCCACAATGCAATAAAAACAGCTGCAGATTGTTTACCTGTTGATTTTGAATGCATAATTGTAAAAATATATTCATTTTTTTACATTTATAGCGTTCGTGTTGAAGCTCTTAAAGAATTTTGTAATGAAGCTAACACAGAATACAAAAAACTTCTTGGTTATAGTAAAACTAGATGGCTTGCGTTGATGCCTGCACTGGAAAGAGTTTTGAAAATGTTTCAGCCATTAAAAAATTATTTTTTGAGCATTGATAAATGCCCGAATATACTGAAAGAATTTTTTGAAAATCCCAGCTCTGAATTATGGTTGTATTTTATGCACGCACAATCAGCTACTTTTCATCAAGCTGTATTAAAGATCGAGGGCCAAAACGTTTCTGCAATAGATGTCGCAAATGAAAATAATCAACTTCAAAATAATTTAGATCAAAAACAAAATTCATGCTATCTTCCCCACGCCACCCGTAATATAATGGTAAAATTACAAGAAACTGGTGATATAAATAAAGAAAACGTAAAAACTGCAGCGTCTAATTTTTATAAAACAAGCAAAGAATATTTGGAGCAGTGGAATCAGTTCAACGAAGAAGTAAAACAATTTGAATGGGCAAATCTGAGAAAGGTTCCCTCGTGGGAAGACGTACAAAAAGTGATGGACTTACTAATTGAACAGAAATTTATAAGTAGCAGTCAAGACACAGGAGTGTTTGACGAGTTTTCACTAATTTCTAAGTATATAACAGCTCAAAAAATTTATGACTGGAACACCGGGAATATACCTACTGAAAATCGTTGGGTGGAAGTATTTACGCACTTTAATGCTAATGATCTCTCACACGTGAATTTTTCT